TGCCTTTTCGTCCGATTAGCATTTCGAAACCAATCGACGACAACGGCGCACTATGTACCTCTAAACGTATCTCATCTTAAACACATGTACAACTATTTTTATGTTACGCTCGTGCATTATATTTTATTCAAAGATTCACTCGGCCGTCGTCGGATATTAAAAACGTAAAAACGGTTTTACAGTTATCGCAGCACAAAAATGAATTACGATATATACTATATAATATTTTATTCTTTAAACTTTTGTACTCGTCGTTATTTATGTAATAATATTTTCTTTTCGAACTACTTGCGAACAACACTTAAGTTTTAAAAACGCAGTGATAATTATTTTGCTAAACATTTAACGTGCCCATTAAAATAATATTTTTCTTTAATTGTTCGCGTTTTTTTTTTTTTTTTTTTTGTTGTTTTTTTCTTGTTATCTGCATTTTTAAAATTAACTAATTGAATATTTTCAATAAAAGTTGTTGAAGCCTCGCCATAATATTTAATTTTATTTTAACACGACGGTACAAAAATCAAAAATAAATTATAACTTCTTATAATTACATGCTAACACCATGCAACCCTTAATTTTCACTTATCAATTGAATTGTACGTGTGTGCGAAAAATTCGTAAAATATTATACCCTATCATCGCATACTTATGTTTGCGTGATTTGCTTTTCCACTTATGAACGAGTTGTCGTTGTTTTTTTTATATGATGATTGTCGCTTACGCGCAGATTTTAAAATCGATTACGTTCAACACTGCGATGACCTCGTCGAGCAAGTCAACAAAATTTCAAAGGCTGTACTCGGAAAAATTATTAAATTTTCGTTCTCCTTGCCAAACGCCAATGTCGCGGACAATCGAATTCGGCATAGAGCCAACGGTATACGTGTGTCGCAAAATCAATTTGATTTTTTTTTTTTTATTTCTATTTTTTCCCTCCGTATTCCCAGTAGGCTGCGGTGTAATATTGGAACGCGGCGCGGCCTAAAAACATGTTTACTCTTATCCGTTATGAATTTTCTATGAGAAATGCGTATTTATTTATGTCTGTCTCCGCACGTATATTTATATATATCGCGTTTTTCCTGAGATCCTCACGAAATTCGTGCACGATTTTGTGCGGGCGTGCGTGTGCGCACGTGTATTATTATTATATACATGCGCCTGACGTGTGTAGTGTGATCGTGCTCGTTGCCATGTACATCGCGTGTCCAGAGACCGACCGCCACCGACGCACGACCCGCGTTTACTTACCTAAACGTTACACGAGATTTCGCGTTTTGGACAGCGACGCGTGCAATTATATCGTTTTCTGGTAGTAATATTATACGCCGCTCCCTAGTTAGGTGGCAAAAGCGTCCCGAGTGTTAATTATTATTTTTATTTCTCACCTATAGTCGTCGTGTATAAAAATCGATACTCGCACGTACTCGCGGTCCTTATTGGACTCGTGCTCTGTTTATGAACACAGCTGGTGGTTCGAATTTGAAAGAAAACGCAAAAAATTACAACCCTGTTACCTATTCGTCCGAAGCGTTTTTACGGAATCCATCTCTTCGGACTGTTATCGATAATCCGGTGCGTTATTCGCGTAGTGGTGATAAGCAGCGGTGTTCTTACCGGGGAAACGGATGACGTGGGATCAGGTAAACGGAAAAAATAAAAAAAAATGTTAAGCGTAACACAGATCGGACGACGATTCCATTAAAACTATCCAACCGGTTTTAAAAAAGCAGTCTATATTTGTTATCGTATTTACGCCGCGAGTCGTTAATTAGGTTTGTGAACTCTCAGTGCCATCGACCGACTACCATATTATAGCTGTACCAATTCAACAGCCCTCGAGTAGTGCTGTTGGAATATTTCGATTAATTTTACATTAATCGACTAATTGATGTTTTTAATTTTATTAAAATTAATTGGGATATTTAGGTCCTTAAAATCAGATTAAATCATTATTTTACAAAAAATAACGTTTAAAATAGTTGTCCTCTGAATAATGTATAAGGAGCTAATTCTCTACAGATCGATTGACTGAACCGATCGTTTAAATTCTTTGCTTTTGAAATGTTTGTCTACAATCGGGGGCCTACGATTGTAAATCTTGGTGAAAGTCTTGGATTAATCGATTATTCCCTATTTATTGATAATCGGTTTTGCTATAACATGCGCCAGTAGAACATTGGAATATAATAATACGACATATAACAACAATTACAATTAATGATATTTTATTATTAATAATATTAACAAATAACAATAACAACAAATATGTACGTGTGCGTGCACACAACAGTAAACGCAATGCGCACAATGACGGACTACTGTCGCACCACGCACGGCGAGACGATGATTGAACGACGCGACGTCGGTTAAATCTCGGCGCCGTAACATTGCGCTCGAGCACACGCCCAACGTTTTTAATTGTTCATTCAACGATCTGCTGAACAAATGCGCTTCACGTATAACGCACAAATCCGCGTATCATTGACGTGTGTACAAAAAAATCAAAAAAAATAAATAAATACAACATCGAATGCATACGGTACGGCACAGTAGTGCATCGTTTCCAGCCGTTACACTTTGTTTTGTTACTCCCCTCGTCGTACTCGTTACAATAACACGCGTTTTCCAATCAACGTGCCGGCGAGACCTGTATTCCAAACGATCGGTCCTCCGTAGCAAACGAACACTACGGGCGCACACACGACGGGTGTCATTCGGTGGTACGCCTCTTCGACTCCGACAGCACTCGGCGTTTTTCGAGTGAACCCCCCGGGTGCGCGCGCGGTTCGGACGTAGTCGAACGACCAACACTGGCGCACGACCCGGAAGCGCGCGTTTGAAAACCGTATTCGTTCCGATCGCGTGCTGACGATTTGCATTCCTACCCCGTACAACCCCGTCGCTGATTGCGGCCCCGTCGAACCTAATGAAACCGTCATCTCTTGTACGATAAATGCGTATCGAATGTTTTACCTTTTGCCCGCGACACGGTTCCCAATCACACGCGACGGGAAGTGCATGTGTGCACGGAGTTGGCAAAAGTTTTACGGCGCTAATTGAATACCCGTGTACTACGGTGGTGCGGCGGACCAGAGCTGCCGACGAAGAAAGTTAATCGTCGAGAGATGGTTTCTCCTCTTCCCGTCCGCGTAAACTCTCAAGAGCCTCCCGCGGTCGGTCGTAATATACCTAGTACATAACAGTGCACGTGCACACCTGTGCGGACGAGGGTCGTAACGGGACTTCTTTAATCAAGTGGATCCTGACCAGACGCCAAATCCAATCGACGGACAAATCTCTCCCCCTCTGCGTATTCGTAAGGTATTGTTTGCCAAGCGCAATTAAGCTAATCCCTTTTTGCCTACCCTAACGAATCGCATCGCCGGACCGCGATTTTATAGTTTTTAATTGAATCCGGCGTGTTAAGCAATCGCCGAGAAGTCGGTCTCCCGCTGCAGCAGACACGTGTTCGCCGAATGTTTGGTGAAATACACAAGTACCTATAATTGTAGTGTATAATAGTATATTTAAGCAATGAAATAATAGAAAGCAATGAACGATTTGCATGATTTTTTTCTCGGGATTCGTGACATCAACAAGGAAAAAATCATATTAAGGTATCGAACGACAAGCTTGTGATGTAAAGATTTTTCGTTTTTATTACATTTGTTAACGTGTACATTAACGTCTTATTATATTATTATTATAAAAATATTTACGTCTGTAAGAAAAGAATTGTATTTTAATTCGGTTTGAATACTACGAAGAAAAGAAAAAATCATAATAGTTATTTGTCATCAGTTACTGGGGAAAAAATAAACATGTCGTCACCGTCTAAAACAAGCTTATGTGTACACTAAATAATATCTTCTTTTCATTTTTGTGCATTATGTATTTATATCTCGAAAAAATTAACAGTGTTTTCAACCTTGATGATATCCGAATTTTCCAACAGTTTCAAATTTACCTAATCTATACATAAAACTGTATGAGTATTTATTTTTTCTTCTTTCACATGATATTTTGCGATATTACGTGATGTGTAAAATAAATCGTTGAAACCAATTATTTTAATAGATATTTTCTTTAAATTACAATTTTGAATATCATTTTTTTATTACAATTGTGTACAATTTTTGTATTCAATGTATGTTAACTTCTAGGTATGTATTTAGTATTCACTTCATATTTGAAAATGTAATTGACCGTTAAAATACAGAATACAATTAAAAACGAAAAACAAATGAAGAATATGTAATGGTTTTTGATTTTATCTTATAAGAATTTCAGTTTGAATTTTATTAGCATATTTATACGGTCATAGTAACCATATTAGGAAATACTTAAATTTCGTTTGTCGAAATTCTTTAGGTCGACTCGGCTGACCGGATATAATAATATGTACCATAAAAAATTAAAAATAAAACAAAAAGTAATTGGATGGTGATGTCACACGTTTCAGTTCTCTACTATATATTGACGCGGTTCTCTATTATTAGACCGCCGACCTTAACTAAATGAAGGAGAGCCTACATGAACTTGGCGCCAACTATTTAGTGTGTATTAGATTTCGTGTTTTAACAAAATATTTAATTTTAAAATTTTATTTTAAAATATTATTCAAAAAACCCTCTATAAATTGTTGTTTATTATTACTATTATTCGTGTTTGATGAATGAGAGAAAAATCTTGTTTTGCATTTTATTACGTTAACTAATTGCCAAAGTCCCTGGTCGTTTATATTAATGAACCTCAAGACAGAAAAAAAAATAAACAATAGAAATGAATAAAACAAGCCTTAAGAGTCTCGGGAATTCCCCTTTATTTGCATTACTTATGTGTATAGTTTCATAATCACATTTTTTTTCTCTATTAATATTGTTAATATTTTTTCTCTTATGTAACCTTTACACGTTTTATGAACATCTCTTGGCCCATATTAATTATAATCAGTTTTGTTGCCTTGTTCCATAATACTGAAATTTATGTTTACGCAGGACGAAGATGACTACGAAACTAGTAGTGGATCCGTGAGGTCTGGTTCAGGAGACGCGGCTAGTTGTGATATTGGATTACTCGAACGTCTCATACGTAGTCACCCGATATGGTTTCTACCCGGAATTCAACGAGCTGGTGCATTTCACTTATTACAAGGGAAGGACGACGGGGTGAGTGCATTAAACATAATCATTGTTAATTAATTGATTAATTATTTTTGATATTACTCGTATTTGTTATGAATCATTTTTACGTTATAGCAACAACAAAAGTAAATTTATTTGAATTTTAAATTTTTCAGAATTTTGTTGTAAGGCAGTCCAGTCAGACGGGCACTATGGCCATATCCGTTCGCTTACCAAGTGGCAAAGGTCCGTATATTGAACATTATCTCATTCAAGCCACTTCCGACAACAGGTTAGCTCTGGAAAGTTCGGACAATAAATTTGATAGTATCCCAATGTTAATTGCTCATTATGCACAGTGCTGGTAAGATTTTAATAGAATCATTGGTACACTTTTTTTTCTTGTGCTTAATATTTTATTTTAATATTTTAGCGATGAACTACCTGTGCAGCTTATGTTACCCAAAGCTATACAAGAAGCGAAAAATCGTCAACAACTCTCATCCTTAGCGTTACTTGGTCAAGGTTAGTTTTACATTTATTCTTATTTTATTATTTTTACAATTGAATAAATTATATTTAATAGAATTCTGGAGGTATCCTATGGCCAGTTCAAGGTCTTCTCCAACATTGGACATATCACCAAACGACGAGCCCACAAAGAGGACATTGAATACTTCTATTCCAAGTAGTGCCGCCAACAGTCAATCGAGTAGCCTCAGTAGTTTTAGCAGTGGTGAGATATAAGACTATAATACCTATATTGTATACATATTTTTTTTTTTACATTTTTTAAAACTATTTTATGTATACCCTTTTGGTACTCAAATAATATGATAATACTATATAAGAATTTATTACTTAAGCATATAACTAAGTTATATTATTTATACGAATATTAATAACTAATATTTTGTATTTTTCATTATTTTTGTAGGCAACAATAATCAAGAATCTGCTTTTACAGACAATCATTTATCTATAGAAGAATTATCAACTAGTCCAGTGGAAAATACACAACAAACCAATGGATTTTTAACAACTTTCAAGAGTACTTCAAAAGAAGGTAATTTTATTATATACTTAATTCTTATAAATTATTACTTGACAATTATGTATATATTTTCAGGTACACCGACTTCTTCAGATAACTTGTCTCCACCAGTGAGCCTTGTGAGTGGTCGGACAAGACCCACACCTCCAAATACATTAAACCTTAAATCTTCCAACAGCCCGTTAACTACAGATGTTGTAAGCTCTTCTCATACAGCCAAAACACCTCCACCACCTCCTCCTCGTTGGGCCAAACCTGTATCAGGCCAACAAAACTTCACTGTGACAACAACTGTTACGTTTAGTTTGCACAAAGAAACATCCCCTTCACCACTTATTCAAGTATCTTGTGGACAAATGTCTAAATCAACAGATGATAGTGAAATTATGCCAGCCATCAAAAGTCCACCAGGATCGGAAATCATGTCTCCAATCTCAGACACAGGTGGTGTGATACGTTCAGGTCGTCGCACTAAAAGAAATAGAATTAAACAGTCAAGACATTATAGAGAAAGCGATATACTTGAAACTCCCAATATTTATCATAGAAGTAATTTTGCTGACAAAGTCAGTGATTATGAAGACGTATGGGGCCCTGACTCATCTTTATCTACATTTAAAACACCTTCATCTTCTCAAAGCAATAGCGGCACTTATATGAAAAATGCTCCAGAATTACCCCCAGAGATGCCACCTGATATACTAGAACAAACTACTAGTGTTCAAACTGTTACTAAAAACACATTAGGACTTGTTTTACCTCAAAACCAAAACAACGATCTCCCTTCAATAACTGACAGTACAACCAGTCTGTTATCACCTGTCTCACCTGAGGCAAAATCTCCAGTTTCTGAAGAAGATATTTCTGAAGCTAAGCAAGGCAGTCCTTTTTACGCTGAACCAGCTGATGCCATAAAACAAGTAAATATTTTTAACTATTAGAATTATAATACGTTTATGACTAATGCCCTTTGATTTTACAGGCTGCTTTTCTGAGACGCAAACCAAAATCTTCAGCAAATAATTTCCGTAACCGCCATTCAGAGCCAAGTTTTCTTCATCAATGGCCTGCGCTAGTTGGATGTAGCCAATTACCCCGAATCGATTCTAAAGAAGAATTGTTATCACCTAATGGTAATTACTCTACCAACCAAGCATTTTCTTCTTCTGTGGACAATATACCATTATTAAGAGGTTCGAGAAGGGAACTCTTAAAAACTGGTAAACCAGTAGAAACCCCTCGTATTGGCCCTCCAAAGCGTGGACTGGAGGGTTCATGGGCAGTAGATTCTAGTTGGGAATTTATTGGCAATGAAAATGAAAATGCTAACTCATTTGATAATAATGATCAAGCAAATATTGAGCAACCATCTAAAGATTGTTTAAAAGAATCTCCAGGACGCAAAGGTCCTACAATACAAGAAATTATTTTACAAAGGTAAATTATTTTAATTCCTAATATAATAAATAAATATTATTTAGTTGTTTATGACCATTAAGAATTTATTAATGTATAAATAAATAGTTTATGTATAGAAATACATTTTTAGCCTGAAGTATTATATTTATAATGTACGACCGGTCTGAATTTAAATATTTAATATTACATATAAATAAAGTCAATAAAATCAAAGTTTAAAGTCTACAAAAGTCTTTAGTCTTAATGTCGATTTATAGTTACGATTTCATTGACTTTGTACATACCTAATGAATTTTTTATTTGAAACCAGTTAAAATATATAAACAATCCAAGCTAAGCATTTATATATAATATATATAAAATATTTATTCATATATTAACAAATGAGTATTAACCATTTACTAATTTTTATTTTTTTACTAAGAATTTATTATTTTCGTATTTTCAGGTTACCGCATTTGAGCTTATATGTCAAAGAACCCTGTTCAACATCTTGCAATAATGATACTGAACAACCTGATCAAAATCCCACTGATAGTGTGAACAATAATATTTTGAACTTGACTGGTTTCAGTAATCTATCTCTTTTGTCTCAGAATAGTGATGAAGATACTAGAGTAAATAATGAGCTTCTATTTAAATATATTTTTATATTTTTTTGATGTATAATTATGTTTTTTTCTTTCTTTTACATTACAGACTGAGTTTTCAGAACCATGGGATAGTTCAAGGTGGGAACATTTGTTACCGGTTTCTAATAAGGATCAAAATCAAGATCATTTAAAATCAGTGAATCGAAACAAAAGTTTTTCCGAACGATTGGATCCGCTTTTAGGTAATATGGATGAATATTTTATAATAAAATATCAAACACAATTTTTATTAAATTATTTCTCTTTAGAATTTAACTAGTTCAAAATTAAGCTTACAAAATATTGTTTGTTCTTTATTGTATTTACCTTTAAACAGGATAGGAAATTGCCAATGGCCTCCGTTATTAAGAGGCCTCGGATTTTTATGAACCTTTTTTTTTTGCATACCACTTTTATCGTAAATAATACATTTTTAATTTTGCTCAAAGGCCACAAAATGCCTAAATCAAACCCTGATAATTACACATTTACTTCAGTTTGCGATTACTGCACATTAACAACCAATTTATTGTAATTTTAGTGTAATAGATTACAATTTTTGTTTTAATTATTGCAATTGCTTTGTAGACTATATTATTATTGTAGTAGTTTTTACAAGAAAAAACCGCTATTAAACTATCGGTAATTAATAAGCATGAATAGTAGTCATCCGTCGAAGTATTATGTAAAATTAAAATATGAGGTCAAATGATAATACTGCACCGACTGATATTTCAAACAACTCGTTCGATTTTGTTCGGATCGTAAATCATCGTTGGCGGTGATGGACATTCTCGGAGCCCGTAAACAAACACGTATCAGTCGCATGGGCGCTACTAGAGCCCAAATATTAGCCCTAGAGTACACGCTTCACGGTCAAAAAGACCGGGCTTTTTGAATTTTGTTCATTGTTTCAAAAATACGAAATATTAACCTAACCCAATCTAGGTACCTTCTAATTAGATGATAAACTAACATTAGATACAATTGCTTACTGTATACGATTTGTTGTCTGTACTATTGAAGGGTTCAAATTCCATTACCTATTAAAACACGGTCTAAAAGACCGTGTGCGTGTTATACTGTGACATTGACACACAATTTAATTTGATGAAAACTCATTATGGGTTAAATTTCTTATCGCCGATAAGACGTTATTCCCTATCGATAAAACATAAATGAATATTTTATTTTTATATTGTTTTTAGTTGACATTGTCTCGCTATACTGTGCGAACTACGAGTATAATACAGATAAAATATTTAATAAAACCTAATATTTAATAAAATTTATATGGAAGTTTAATTTTTTTATATTATGTATCAATTAAATCATTTGACAATATTTCTTTATTTAAAAAAATAAAATCAATAAAATAATTATAATTTCAATTTATCGAGTTTTAATTGAAATATTTCAATACACGGTCAAAAACACCGTGTGCGTGGAATCTTGTGAATATTTTTAATGCGTGTAATCTAGGGTTAAGGGTGTTGAAATTGCCGAAAATAAAATTAAATGGTATTTAACTGTAATTACTATAGATTATATAGATCTGAAGAAAAAAAAACAGGAGTGCTACATTTGAACTCAGGGATGCTAAAAACCCTATTGCGTCCCCCTAGTTGCGTCTATGTTGTATGTTTGTTCGTTTAATCCCCGACCAACATAAACTTATTCTAGATAAAACCGTTCTACATAGAACGATCAATTATTGTTTCTAAAACCTTTAAACCCCGGGTGTTTACGGAAAATATTTCAAAAACGTTTGTTGCGTCAGATAAGAAAACGTTCGTATAAACTTAATCCGGAAAGTAGTATAAAAGTCAAATTCACTAAAAAAAAATTAATAAATCCACTAGAAAACGGCTATGAAAAAAAATATCGTCTGTCATTTGTAGTTCATACGTTCGTGTTATGTTCGCGATCGACGAATTCCGGTGATCGAGTGTACCGCACGTGAATGAAAGTTACAAATATTTATTTATTATCGTTTTAATGTTACGAAAGTCATAAATAAATTAAAATATATAAAAATTTAATATAATAATAGAGACGTCACTACGATATTAACTGTGGTGTGTACGATATTCTGTAGCAGCCCCACGGATCCAAGCATTGGCACGCAGCCGCTTGATGGCCCAGACTGGCACAGGTTCTTCAACGCGAGAGTATGCGCTGCAGCTTGCCGCGGACAAGTCCACTGTATTTGCCAGGTCCATCGACAACTTCGTGTGCTGCACAGTTGAGTCCAAGGAGACCAACCCGTCGGTGGTGATGCGAAACGTGCGACAGTTCATGTCGGGGATGAAAAACTATTTGCTCAAACACGGAGAGAAGGAGTTCCAGAAAGTCGTAGAGAGGGAACGGAGCCAGGTATGCGTGTGTTTTTATTTCCATTTTCTCTTTGTAGGATCTTGTGATCCCCTCGACGATCGGCCGTTCTTGCCGCGTCCTGTGGACAGGATTACATGCGAAGCATTTCTTTAATTCCGCGCGTGTTTTCTGCTCCGCAGTTGAAGCCCACCGAGTTCCTCAACCTCGACGTGATCCTGGAAGGCGTGATGAACCGGCTGGTACTTAAGGAACTCCGGGAGCACATCTACAGCCTTCTGGTCGACGAGTACGTTAACAACGGCTCCGTACCGTCCATGGTGGAGAACATACACTACGCCAAGTCGAAGAGCATCCAAGACTTCGCGGTCCGAGTACGTGTAAGACTTTGTTACATTTAGCCAGTGCTCAGCGTGGGAGGGAGGCGCAAAGGGACATTCGGTCCTCCTACCTCTCGCAGTGCTTAAAAATTCTCTTGCAGAAAGTTCACTATAACGCTCAACTGTTCACAAAAAAAAACAATCGTTCACGTTAAAAATTAATAATCAGTTATGAAATATGTACAAAAATGTTTTTTAAAATATTTGTTTCGTTTTATAATCAACTATTACGTCTCGTCGGTGATCTACCGTAGCTCGAAGAAATAGTATTATTTTACAATCAACTCGTATTCAATATTAATGATGTGTCATTCACTCATAATGTACTGTTTAATATGCGTATATCCAACTAATATAATTGTATGGAAAGCTCTTAGCGGTACAGTCATCAAAGTCTCTTTGGCTTTTTTTTTTTTTGCCACTTTTGTTCTGTGTTTATCCGCCGCTGTGTCGAGCAGCTTAGACGTGAGATCAGCGGCCGTTTAATTTTTACGGAGTCACGTGTAGGCATAACTACACGCATATGTTGTGTTGCGTATCACGCGTGTGCGAGGAATAATGCGTGCGAATGACATTACTGCCATTTTCGTTCCAACGTTTCTAGAAACTTTCTACCTCTTACTGATAATCTTGACGGTGTGATAAGGATTCTGAAAACGCTCATTGTATAGTTAACTGTGGAAGGGTTTAACCGTTGAACTTAATCATTTTTCATAAATATTTTCATACATAAAGTCATAAAATTTTATTTTAAATTATTTAAAAATGTACAAGAATCTTAACAAGGTCCAATTATAAATTTAGATAACTAATACATTTAATTAGAATAAAATTGAATTGTTTTTGTATTAATAAAGCTGAAATACATATAAGTACATATAAATACATATAGTTAAATATATATAGGTACATGATTTTGAGACCCATAAATTATTTCATATCAATGTCAACATATGCTTAGACTTATTTTAACAATTGTTTTTTTTTTTATTAACTTATTGTTTTTAACGTCTTCAAGATTTATTTAGGTTTAGTACTATTGAAAATATATGATAGTATGATTGTACTCGTACTTATATATATTTATAAATTTATAAGTTTAAATTTAAATATATTGAGTAATTAATTTGATTCTTATAAAATAATTACAGGAAAATTTGGTACCACCAAATGATAACGATTTGAAGAAAATATCAGAATGCTTCAAACGTCTTCAAGATGCATTCTTGCCATTGGAAAAATTAGAACATCTACTGTCTGCTATTGCTCTAATTTTTAACGCTGTAAGAAAATTATGAAATATTTACATTAATTTATGCATTACGGTATTAATAATGATTATCGTCTATTCTTTTAGGTTAAAATGCAAAATCGAAGCGCAGACGCATGTCTAGGTGCTGATGACTTCTTGCCTTTGTTGGTATGGGTGCTCGTTCAATGCAATGTCCTTACAGCTGAACTGGAGGCTGAATACATGTGGGGCTTGTTGCATCCATCACTGATACCTGGTGAGGGAGGATATTACCTGACCGCTCTATGCGGTGCCGTACACGTGTTGAAAAGCTACAAATCCTCTATGGAAGCCAGTTCGGCTAATGGTGTGAAAACTCTAGGTTCCGACAACACAGTATGTTATGCCGAATTTGTTTCCTAATACTTAGAAAGGTGTTAAATTCTTGATATTGTTTTTGGTAGTTGAGTTATGACCCACTAAATGAACTCAAATCAGTACTTAAAGTGGTTGTACCTGATGAAACAAACGGCTCGTTATTGACCAAGACATTACCTGTCAGACCACACATGACCACACGTGATGTATGTAAAATCATTGCACACAAATTGCGCATAACCAATCCACAAGATTATTCACTGTTTAAATTAATTGACGGCCAAGGTAATTGCAATAATTTTTAATTTTTTATTTAACTAATTTTTTTTTAACTAATATTTATAATAACTATTTCTAGAATTCCTGTTGTCTGAAACCGACTGTCCACAAGATATTAAGAGTTCTACAACAGCTTGTGGCAGTCATTGTCTGTTTGCATACAAAAGGATTGATGCAAAAATAGCTTGGCCCCATTCGCCTTCACCCTAAGCCATATAACTTAAAATATTAAAAAAAATTTATTTATTTTTGTGTTTGTTTTCTTTATATATATTTTGGGATTATTTTATACTATTGTATAACAATTTTTCTTTGTGATTAGTCTTTAACCTGTGAACAATATCTTGCGCCGACTATTATCCTAAATGCTAGTCATAAAATTTGTGTGTAAGTCTGCGTAAATGTTTGGATATGTAAATAATGTAGTGTACATTTGAATAACACACATTATTGAAGTAATCATAGGTATATATTATTATTTAAGCATTATGTTTTTTATCTTATTGTCTAAAATATTTTTTTTTAATTATTTTAATATTTATGAAATTTTTTTAAATATATTTTATTATTATTTGTATGTTTTTATAACTTTATTATTAGTTTAAACAAAATAATATTTCTACTCAATGACTGATAAGCTTGATACTTTGTATTCAAGCTAAGAATTTATTTTTATTTTTTCAATTTATTGTCTGTGTACAATGTAAAAAAAAAATGACACGAGTTATGAAAGCTAATAATTTTTTGTTTTTATACTTCAATTAACTGTATCTAAAATATACTTTTACTTTAAATACTTTAAAACAAATTGCGTTTCAGTATGTAAACTAATCCTATATAATTTGATATATATATATATATATATATATATATTTAAATATATTTAAATATATTTAATATATAAAAAACAAATATAATATTTTGATAAAGTAACTGTTTTAATTTTTACCATTAATGTTGTTAATATCTTAATGTTATATAGTATATAACAGTTCAATTATCAAAAAATTATTTATATATATATATACTATATAACATTAAGATATTAACAACGTTAATGGTAAAAATTAAAACAGTTACTTTATCAAAAAATTATATTTGTGGCGATGTGGACTGTATAAAAACTTAGACTTTGTTTTGATTTAAAGAATTGGGTTTTTTATTTTAATTCAACGAAATAATTGTCATTTTAAGGTGGCTTAATGGCCGATCACGTATCTATCATTCACGCCGCGCATGACGTTGACGCTAGACTATACTGCACCACTGGTTCGGGGGCGCACGCAGCGCGCTCGCGTTATCAGCTCATCCCAATTACGACCATCGTCGATCGCGATCGACCATACCGCCCGCCTTAAACAATTGTTTAACAAAACATTTTTTTTCTAATATATTATAGTAAATTTAACAAAATAGTAATTTCAATAAATCATAAGATAACAAAATATTTCAAAATAACATAACATTATACAAAAGAAACAACCAAAAAAAAAAAAAATTTATTTTATATAAACTTAATTGTAACAAGTGTACCTTTACATATTTATTTTTGATCATTTGAGACACAATTACCTTCGAAAGGAAGTGGGCATAAATACCGAATAGCGCGACGATATATACCACTAGGAGTCTTCACGGTGGCGACTCTTGGAACACCGTCACCATCTGCATTCACATGAAGAGCTTGAACAAGACCCAACTTCCACTGAAGAGGCGGAGCGTTGTCATCCTTCACAAGAACAATTGAGCCTATTTTTATCCTTGGACCCTTTTCGATAGACCACCGTTTTCGTTCCTGAAGTTGGGTTAAATATTCACGGTTCCAACGGGACCAGATTTGCTGGGAAACCTGCATGACTCTGCGCCATCTAGTTAATCGATTGGTTGGTATTAATGACACTTCAATTTCTGGTAAAGCACTTAACGAGTCGCCAATAAGGAAATGAGCAGGGGTTAAAGGAGCGAGGTCAGAAGGATCAGAAGATAAAGGAACCAAAGGTCGTGAATTCAAACATGCCTCCACTCGTATTAATGTCGTATTCAACTCTTCGTATGTAAAGTTTGCGTTGCCTAAAGCGCGAAATAAATGATGTTTAATAGATTTTATTGCTGACTCCCATAATCCTCCAAAATGAGGGGAGCGAGGTGGTATAAAGTGCCAACGGATACCGGATTCAGATAATACATTCTGCAATTTTGATTGATGTTCTTCGCTGTGAATCAAGTTGCTCAACTCTTGAAGTTGACGATTTGCTCCAACGAAATTTTTTGCGTTATCCGAATAAATATCTGTGCATTTTCCTCTTCGGTCAGAAAATCTTCTTAATGCATTTATAAACGATGCACTTGTTAAATCTCCAACCAGTTCGATGTGCACTGCCTTTGTTGTGAAGCAGATAAACACACAGATATACCCCTTGCTGAGAGCCGAATTTCGCCTCAAACTTGTTTTTATCATTAACGGTCCCGCGAAGTCGACTCCGCAGACCGAAAAAGGGCGACTAGGTTCAATTCTTTGCTTGGGTAGGTTCCCCATTATAGGTTGAAAAACTGTAGGCTTTAATCGAAAACATCTTACGCACTTGGACGCAACCTTGCGTGCGACATTTCGGCCATTTATGGGCCAAAAACGTTGCCTTACATGCGCCAACATTAGTTGCGGACCACCATGTAGTAATACATCATGAGCATCTTGAAATATTAAGTGAATTATGGAATTATTTGGAGGAACAAGCATGGAATTTTGTTGGAACTGATCTAGCTGACCCGCATTCTTCAGACGTCCTCCAACTCTGATGATGTTATTTTCGTCCAGATAAAGACGTAAACGAAAAATGTTGCTTTTTGGGGAACATAATCCGTTTTTTCTTAAGTCGGAAATTTCACAAAACCACTTCTCGCCTTGAACAAATCGAATAACGTGATTGGTCGCATTATTTAGATCATATGGCAGCAGAGGACCCGTTTTTTTTTGTCATTTGGATGAGCAGTGTTATAAATAAATCGTAAACACAAAGCTACTACCCGTATAAGACGTTCAGACGTGGGCAAACTAATTGTTCGACGTTCTTCAACTGTATCGAAGTTGATTTGATTTTTGTTTATATGCGGCCATTTAGATGAATCACACTGAAGCCAATTAGGACCCTCCCACCAAAAACTGTCATTTAACATCATTTGAGGTTCTCGACCACGGGAAATAATATCTGCCGGGTTGTCTTTAGTATGTACGTGCGCCCATTCGGATATGGATGTTATTTCTTGAATCTCACCAACTCTATGAGCGATGAATGTTTTCCACTGCGCCGATGGTGAAGAGATCCAAGCAAGAACTATTGAAGAGTCCGTCCAGAATGTCCTTTGACTGATATTCATTTTTAATTTCGCAATTATTTTGTCAGCTAAACGCGCCAAAAGGACAGCTCCACATAGTTCTAGACGTGGTAGTGAAATCGATTTTAAAGGGGCTACGCGTGATTTAGCACAGATTAAACGTAAACTACGCTTGCCTTGATTATTTGTTGTTATAAGATACAAACAAGCACCGAACGCTTCAATCGATGCATCTGAAAATCCATGTATTTGTACATCTACAATTTCTCCTGTGATTACGATACATCGCGGTATAGATAATTTAATAATAATAGGCTTTCACGAAATTTGTACCAATCCAACATTATCTCCTCTGGCAATGTTTCATCCCATCCAATGCCTATTGTCCACAAACGTTGCATCTTTATTTTAGCCTTTATAACAACATGGCTAATTAGACCCAGTGGGTCAAATATAGTCGCTATTTCTGACAGTATTTGACGTTTGGTAACAATAGTTTTTCTTTCCGCGAGTTTCACTTTATACTTGAAAACGTCACCTGACGGATCCCACCGAAAACCTAAAATATTGGCAGAGTTTTTGGATAAGTCCAAGATTAATGTCGGATCATTTTCTTTATTTTCAAGACCGGTAAGAAGTGCGGGATCGCTGGCTGTCCATTTTCTAAGTTCAAATCCGCCCTTTTGTAACACTTCTATGATTTCGTTACGCAATGTTATTGCCTCTTGCAGAGATTTGGCACCACCCAGATAATCGTCCATGTAAAAGTCCTGTTTAATTGCATTACAAGCGTTAGAATACAAGTTTGATTCTTCGTCAGCCAAACGATGTAGACATGCGGTTGCGAGGAACGATGCAAGGACTGTGCCATACGTTATTGTATTTAATTGGAATTGATGCAATTCTTGATCGGGTTCCGGTCTCCAAACTATTTGTTGATAGGTTCTGTGATTCGGAGCTACCCATATTCGACGGTACATCTTGGAGATGTCAGCAGTCATTGCATATCTATGCTTACGAAAACGAGTCAACAAATTTATAAGATCTTCTTGAATGCAAGGACCCTTTAGCAAAACGTCATTTAAACTGACTCCCGATGTGGTCTTGCATGATGCATCGAACACCACTCTTAATTTAGTAGTTACACTGTCCTCTCTCCAAACTGTGTGATGTGGTAAATAATAACTTTCTTTGATGTTTGAACATAGTTTAACTCTAGTCATATGTTCTAAATCTTCATATTCTTTCATAAATTTCGAGTATTCGATTTTGAGTTGAGAGCTGGTTAATAATCTTTTCTCAAGACCATGGAAACGCCGCGTAGCTGTTGGTTTCGAATCACCTAATTTTTTCGCCTTATCTCGAAATGGTAGCTGAACTACAAACCTGCCTTGTTCATCTCGCTGCACAGTATTTTCAAAATGTTCACGGCACGCCTTTTCCTCCAATGTGAACGCTGTCTTATTTGAACCAATTTCTTCTGTGCGCCAAAATTTTGAAACTTGTTGTTCGAGCTTTGATAAACTTGTACATAACGCGACGGTTGATGTTTTACTGATATCTTCCCGTGGCTGTGTTGACCCAGCTACAATCCAACCCAATTGCGTTTCTTGCATAATTAAATTGGATTGAGGAAGTTTAAACTGATTTGCACGCAATAATTCATAAAATACTTCCGAACCTAAAATAGCGTCGATTCTTTGTGGTTCACTATAAGACGGATCGGCTAAATTCAGCCGGAATTTGAAATCTGGATATGTCGATTTTGGATAACGGAATATTTCCGGTTAAGCGCGGTAATATGTAAAAATCGATATTTACTTTGTAGTTGGACACACGCGATTCGATATTAGCCGATGCCATATACGATGCATTTTGGGCTGATTCGTTTATACCGATTATTTTACACGATACGCGCGTTTTATTTAATTTTAACGTTTGAGATATGGATTCGGACATAAAATTACTTTGGGATCCCGAGTCAAGCAGTACACGACATGCTGTTGATTCCCCGCGCGTGTTCCTCAAGATAACGACTGCGGTTGACAATAAAATTTGTTTATTTGAACTTTGTTGGGACGAATGAGCACTAATAGATTCGAGATTGGACACATTTTCTTTCTTTGAATCGCTCGCGACAGTGTTTGTTGTTCGGTATGCTGTTGCATTTTCGGAACCGCCCGCCATGATCGGTTTAGACTTGGGTAGATGTAACAAGCTGTTATGCGCTTTCATGCATTTGGCACATCGCCGTGAAGTACATTTCTCACCGATGTGATTTCGAAGACAGATTTTACACAGCTTTAGTTCGCCTATTCGTTTTATGCGATCGGATATTGAAAACGCTAATAGAGCTGGACATTTATAAATAGTATGTTCGCCGTCACAGTTATAGCATTTCAAAGTTCCCGTAACGACGAATGAGGACGATTGATCATTAGACCTTTTAAATTTGAAGCTATTTTTTTTAAATTGACGCTGCTGAGGCTGTACTATTTTTAGTCCTCCCGACGCCTCTATGGCTTCTAGTATCTGACACCGATTTTCTAAATATTCTAGTAATGCATTCACCGAGGCGACTTCTGAATTCGACGATTCTATTTCCCACTGTCTTAATGTGCTCGCGTCCAGTTTTATAGAAATAACATGTAAAAGAAGTGATCCCCATTCTTTTGGATTATGGCCTAACGACGTGAGAGCCTTAATATGACCGTTAATCGCATCGACGAGCTTACGCAACTCAAATGACGATTCGTTATTTATATTTTCTAAATCAAATAACTTTTTTGTATGAAGTTGTACAGTGAGTTTTTTATTACTGTACCGCGAAATTAGAGCGTCCCACGCGATTTTATAGTTATCCGACGTAGTGTCCAAAAATTGAATAGTTTTTTGAGCGTCTCCAGACACTGACGAACGTAAATAAAAGAATTTTTGTATATCAGTGAGAGAAGAATTTTGATGCATTAACGCGGAAAATATGTCGTGAAAGGCTGGCCATTCGGAATAAATGCCAGTGAAATTTGGTATTTCTAGGGGAGCTAGTTTTACCATCGGCATAAATTTCGACGTACCAGCCGAAACGGTACTTGCTTTCGAACTGTCATTATTCAACGATTTTTCGGTATGATTGATAATTAAATTGTTGCAAACGGCAACACTCTCAAAATATAAGTCTTCAAAACTAGCTCTATATTTTTCGGTTTCCTCATTAGCACTAATCTCTTCTATAGAAGTTTGGACTGTTTCGAAATCTTGCCAAACTTCATTTATTTTTTCTTTTCTCAATCTTAATTGTATAACATCTATATTTTCTGTTGCTTGAGCGGCTCGAACAAAGTTATTGAAACGCGTTAGTTGGCTTTTAAGTAGCCCCCTTCGAGACAACAGAGAACTTATTTCGGACATTTTACGAATAATTTGAACAACGTTACGAGTGAAGGCAGCCCTAATTACGACACTAAGAGCTATGAAGGAAAATTGCACAAAAATAAATAAAGAAACTACTGGCGACTAACCTTTATGTTGTTTTCTTGGACTGTAAACGCCACCACTCTTTTGCTGTATCGACACTCCGTCCTCGTGCTAAGATTGGTATTATAAAATTACGCAAATTTATAATTTGAATAAATACGTTACCGCACAACGTTTACACGAACGTAAACAATAGTTATCACTGTCTTTACGCCGGACTACGGAAACGAAACGATACGACGATGATAAGCACGACGCGTGCACCGTTTATTCAACCGTTTTATATCAACCGTTTATTTTTACGATGTTTGAAATATAACGCCGGACAATAGAAACGAAACGACAGTAGAAACACTAATGTGTTATCCAGATGCTGCAACGAAGATAAACGACGGACGACAACAATCGAGTCGTAAAAGAATAATAATAATTATTCGTATTATTATCCGTGAGTGCGGTCGCGATCGTTATTATGTAACGATTTATTTACGGTGCGACGGCGACGACGACTACGGCAATGACGACGGCGACGATTTGACGATATATTATAATGGCGATAACACGCACTACGGTCTACGCGTCTACGGTGTTAACACAAATAATACACTGATCATAATCCGGCTCGAATGACCATGTGGCGATGTGGACTGTATAAAAACTTAGACTTTGTTTTGATTTAAGGAATTGGGTTTTTTATTTTAATTCAACGAAATAATTGTCATTTTAAGATGGCTTAATGGCCGATTACGTATCTATCATTCACGCCGCGCATGACGTTGACGCTAGACTAGACTGCACCACTGGTTCGGGGCGCACGCAGCGCGCTCGCGTTATCAGCTCATCCCAATTACGACCATCGTCGATCGCGATCGACCAATATTTGTTTTCAAGTAATTGATCTATTGAACCATATGGTTCTTTATAGTATTATTTAGTAAGCAAAGAATACATTGAACATTTTAACATGAATTAAAATGATGTAATTGGTTTTTATATTTTTTTTTAAGGACAACGATCTTATCCGCAAAATGTTGCTCTTCCAGTGAGGTCATTTTAATTTTTTCACAGATTAAGTTATCTTGAAATCCTATGTGAGGTTCATTAGTATTCAGTAGTCATAGTGTGCAGTGTAAAATTTCGATTTCAAATATTGTGTATGAAAACTGTACAATTTCCATCATTGTTAAAAATGCAAGACAATAACATTTTTAAAACATTAATGTAGTGTTATAAATTATATTAAAACATAAGCTGCATTATTATTCTGCCTCATCTGGAAGACATTTTATTATTTTCAATCAGAGCACAATTATCATTTCAATTTATAAAAGAAAAACTTAGGTTGAAAAATCCATAGCCTCTGCCCCATGGTATCTATCAAAATACTACTACATCATGCTCCACAAAAAGTTAAAAATCTCAAATTCTCGAACTTAGCTAACTAAACAATAGTACATTCAATTTGACAATAAACTGCAGCATCGCCAAAATCTTGTTTTATTACATTCATCTACATTGGCACTAGCTGCAAAACCTAATCATCGTCTCAAAAAGCACTGATGTTAAGATCATTCACACAAAATCTAAATGAATAAACTATTGGTAATTGATTTATTATTACCGAAGAGGTTTCCTCATTTTGTCACCTATATATATATATATATATATATATATATATTATTTTAATGAACATATTTACTCTCATTTGCTTACTGTTGCGTTTATTTGATTGTTTTCTACACATTTTTTTTTTTTTATTCTTACTGAATAACATTATATTTTATGTAATTGGCATCAGGCATCATATATACACTTTACTCAAAACGTTCGATAAGAATCACATTTAGGGCTGTTGGGGCATGCTGTATTTTGTATGCCTATAGAATCTAAAGTTTAGACCAGTAAGAGAAAGATTAGTTATAGTACTTTCCGATGTCCAATTTAAAATTTGAATATATGTATGAATTCATCATCCCTTTTTTTAGGCTATGTGGGAAAAACATTTTTAATTTTTATATTCAATAAGTCTTAAAAAATACTGTTAGCTTCTTAAAACTCATAAAACTATTTTTATGATATTTACATGTTAACAGTTCTAAATTATCAATTATTTTTCCTATAAAAACTAAGTAAAGGTTAACTATTAGACATCTATTTTTAAAAATTGAATCGGGTCACTGGAAGTAAATAAATAAAACTGTTTCTTTTAACTCTGTCGTAACGATTTTGAAAACAAAAAAAAAATTAATACTTAAATTAGTGATAATTATATAATAATTATCTTTATTTAATATTAAATTCGTCTCGTTTCGCATAATTACCCTTATTGTTTATCATACGAAATTATTTCTTAACGTTATCTAAACACCTCCGATTCAGCCAGCATATAATTATAAGATTACTCATACCTTTAAACACATTGATAATATTATAATTTACGATGATTGAGAATCAACGAAGGAATACATTATAAATCCCGACATATGCGTGTGTTTCTAGTCATTTTTTAGAGTTTTAATTATATATTCTCCACAAAATTCGATTTGAAATAATATCTATATATGGTGACTTAGTGTAAAAGCTATTGATTACTTTAAATAGCTCAAAGTAAACATTTCATATAGATTGAACGAAAATATATTTAAAAATGTACAAAAATTAGTAGTAAATGGTTAATTATTGTGAAATAGTAATGTGTGATAAAATATAATAATTATACCTTTGTACGGAAACAGTAAATGTATCAAGAAATAATCGCAAACAGAAAAAAAGTTTTATAAGTTTCATAAAAATGAATAAATTCATTTTCAGAAAACGTTCAATAGGATAAAGAGCAACGTACAATCGTTTACCTGAGAGGTTTAATAAAATATTGGAACTTCATAGTATTAATACATAATAAGAAAAATATAGGCGAAAAAATATATTTAACGAAAACAAAATTAAAAAATATTGAAAATAGACATTTAACATTAAGTAATATTGTGTTTTTCAATAAATCTATAATGATTCGTTCATAAACCTAATAGTCTGAGGTTATATAACATGAAAAATCTTGTAAAAAGGAAATTCATTCCAAAAAAAATAAATAATTGTACATACAAAAACCTTCCAAGGATCATCGAGAAGAAAATAAACTTAAACGAATATTATAACATTTATTATATCGACTCACATTCGGAAAGTGTTTTGGACGAGGAATAGTGTATGAATTTCGTGTATTGATGTTTGTCGTTGGACGTACAATTAATGACTGTTAGCAACTACAGATTAAAAATCTTTATTTTATATTAAATTCGTCTCGTTTCGCATAGTTACCCTTACTGTTTATCATACGAAATTATTTCTAAACGTCATCTCAACACCTCCTATTCAGTCAGCATATAATTATAAGATTTCTCATAGCTTTAAACACATTGATAATATTATAATTTACGATGATTGAGAATTAACGAAGGAATACATTAAAAATCCCGACATATGTCCCAATTGGAAATTTATTACTTATGCCGATACTCACAACAGGCGCAGTACTGCGCAAATATTGCCATCCAACGGTTGGCTAGCCCGTACGGGCATAGTACTGATTATTTTAATTAGCCAGTACTGCATTAGTACTGGAAAACTAGTACTGGCTGCCAGTGTTTGCTCAATACTGGCTCTATACGTGCCTCGTAAGGATTGTGAGCAATGGCCAGCAAATAACTCTTGTAGTTCTGCCAACGTTGGCGGAATACAGACGTAATAATTAAATACGTAATAATTATTACGGACGTAATAATTACGGGTCCCATATAGCCGTATAGGTGTAACTAGGTAGGGACTAGGGGTTAAGGGGGGTTTAGTCCCCCGAATATTATTTTAGCCCCTTTGTCAGAAATTTAAGATCCCCTGTGACAGTAGTTTAAGTCTTCAAATCAATATTAGAAATATTGTAAAAAAAATATGTAATTTGAATGTTAACATCTAGATAAAAAGAAATTGCAATCTACACTGGGATTAAACAATTTTCATAATATCATGCATTGATATTAAACTAAAAATATGTTTAACACATGCAATGCCGTGGTCCGTTTGTAGTGCTGATACCGTGTAGCCGCAACGAAGAACGATAATAGAATATCACAACAATATAGGGTTTTTCCTATGTATACTATCCGCCGGCAACAAAGTTCACGCGATCATGTCCCTCCGCCACACCGCCACACCTTCAATACATTAAACGCCATAGATGTCTTTATTGTCAAATGAAATATCATATCAAATATCAATCGTCTTTGTATTTTCTTCCGTGGTATACTGTGTGTGCTCGAGTTTTTTTCATTAATCCTTTTTTTCTTTTTCGCGTGTATATTTTTAATATTTTATACAGCGTAGTGATTAGTGAGCGTTTGACATTTATATTTTGTATTTTGTACAACTCAACCCTCAAGTTCTCAAGATCTCCGAAGTCTTAAGATTTTCAGAAGTTAAAGGTATGTATACATTCAAATCAACTATTAATTTATTGTAAGTACCTATATGTAGTAGTAAACGTCGAGTTAACTACTATGCATTTACTTAATAACTATAACTTTAGTTAATTCAGTCTATGCTACTATGTATTTACCTGTTAAAATTAGGTAATCGGTCTTAATAAATAATTAAGTTTTAAAGTGTACCAAGTATTAGAAAATTACTTTTGAAGTTTAAATTGTGTTTGATTTCGAGATTTTCTTATGTAGGTACCTACTTAAAATTTTCAATAATACATTTAATTTTGATTATTAGTTCTAATTTGTTTCATATGACGTTTCATATTAGGTAAAATAACTTCAATTTATCTAAATTAAAAATAAAATAAATAGGTAATAACTTTTATTGTCACTCGCTGAAAAGTTTTATAATTAGGTACTGTCTATTGAATTAGCTTAATTTTTTTTTTGTCTTATTTA